TTAAGTCTGTATCATATCCAACACAGAAGGATTTCTCATCTTCTTGCAGGGGATATTTATTGGTCAGGAACTCTGTATCTTCTGGAGAGGCCCGAAGGTTTTCGTAAACCCAGTTTGAGCATAATATACTGTCAAGATTGGGGGGAGGGTTGGTTTTTTGTTGTTGTTTTTTTGTTCACATCATTGTTTCTCCCACAAACTTGACGTTAGTTGCTTCCTTGTTTTTAAACTGTCAGTGGGAGGGTGTTCCTCGTTGATCCCAAAGAAAGGAAAGGGATTCTTTCACTAGGAGATCGACCTGCTTGTTTCCTCGGATCCCTATAGCTGAGTCCTATTTTAAGCCATATGTAAAGATTTACTCTACATCGGGGTATTTTTTTGTTGTTGCTGTTGTTGAATTGTTGGTGTTTTGAATTCTAAATTTACTTTTGCCTTGGTGAGGGGCAAAGGAGGAAGGGCAGGAAAAGAAATTGTTCTGTGTCTTTTTCGAGAGGTCTACGTTTTTGAGGTTCTCAAGGACCCTGAGCCCGAAAGTTGATTCTTAATTTGTTTATTGTGTCTGGATACGATTAAAACGTGTAGTCGTGAGATGGATTTTCTTATAGATCTAGTTGAACTCTGTTTGATTGCGTGCTGTAATGCAATTCATGTTCGTTTGAATGTTAGTGATGGTATATTGGCCTCAGTCTAGAAACTGTCTACTGAAGAAGTGTAGAATGCCCCCAGGGCGTGACGTTGTTGTTGGTGTTGTACAGGGTCTAGCATTTTTATTTGTAAGGTCCATAAACCCGACACTTCATTCATACAAAAGTAAGGTCAATGAACAGGAAAAGGAGAGGCGGGGGGGGGGGTAATATCTTTCAACGAAGTTTGATCGTTATGAGATGAACAACTCATTTTTCCAGATGACTGCAAGCAAACCTTTACAAGATTTTCATTACCTAGATATCTATATTGTTACTGAATTGACAGCGTAATCCAGAAACGTATAGGGTAAACAGATTTTTTGCAATACTTACATGTTTTTTTTCCTGATTGTAATTCACTTCAGATATTATGAACAATTTAGGAATAGGTCTAAGCTACATTGGCTATGTAACGGAAAAGAAAAGGAACCTTTGGTCCATCATTCAAAACTGTAATGAAATACATCCTGCAGGGGTTTTAGGTGCACGTTTTGGTGAAAGGTTTGTTTTTGCAAAGCTCTTTTATACAAAGTTTGTGATCATAAACATATGAGAAGATTACTAAAATGAAGTTATTGTTGGATTTCTGACTGTTATGCAGCTGGAAAGGTAAAAAAAAAAGAACAAATAATACAATCTTTTAAAGAATATTGTCTCCCGCTCTCACTCTTAATACTTTTAATGCATGTATTCAGAAGAGATCTTTTATCTCTCCCATTTGGCTTTTCATGAAGTCTTAAGGTGGGCAATCATTAGTCGTGCTTGTAACATGTGTTGCCGACTCCATCATGTATATATATATGTGCCAAATAGAACTTGCTTCACATCCTCACTTGCTATTTATGCTTATCTTGGAAGAAGGTAAAACCCTTTAACTGCTTCGGATTTTTGATAATTTTCATCTCATTGTTTTTTCGTGGCAGAATGTTTGTCGATATATAATTATTCCGTCCACTGATAGAATTCATGAGGTTTATGACGGTAACAATTTGTAAAATGTAACTTTCTGTCCAGTCAGAGATTTCTTTTAAAGCAGACGTAAATTAATATTTGAGCTATTTTAGGTCTCTCTAGAGACACAGTGGAAAACAACGCTAGTCAGATAAGTATCCGTGGTGCGCATCTTGACGGAGACTGTAACCTGCATGTTGGCACTGAGCTATGATTTGCTGAGAAGACACAACCATCTTGATATCTATTTTTGTCTTGTTTGTGTTTTGTCTTGAATTTGGGAGGGGTAAAGCAGTCAAATTGTCAGGGTTTGCTGAAACAATGTTTCCTTTCTGAGACATCCCCTACATCTTTTGAGGTCCTAATACCTCGAACATTATACAGGGTATCATGAAACGAAGACAAAACAAAAATAAAATCTACAAAAACGAACAACATCAAACAAATTAGTATTTATCTGCTTCTGCACTTCTCAAAAAACAAGGAGAGACATTCGTATCAGCTACCAAGACTAACTAAGTCGATGAAAGGTTGACATCAATGTTAAAACGAAAGGCTCATCCATGTTATCTGATCCTCTTGTAACCACCAGTTGTTGTCGATTTAAAATTAAATTTCTATTCCTGGGTCACAGTCTGACGCTAAATCTCTTTGGGAAGGTGTAGCTCTCTTAATTGGTCGCTTTTAAGCACAAGGGGGCTAGCCCGAAAAATGCTGTTTTGAAAAAATCGAAGGTTAAGTTTTGTCCCTTATTAAGTTTCTTTAAAAGACAAGGAGAGTTTTCTCTATATCCAAAGAAATATCCCCACCAATGAAACCAAACTTCTGCTATAGGTAGGACAATACCCACTTTTGGTGTAAGTCAAGATTTCTGGAAATCCCCGAAATCTGGGTTAGCCCGCTTGTCGTTAACGCGTTAAAAGCGACCAATTGCTTACCATATATTGTGCCATACTAGCTTGATACCAATATGTTCTTAGTAATAAAGTTGAACCTATGCCGTGCACTTTCGCTTTCATTTTTTTTTTTGGCTTAGCAAACGCTATATGGTGATTATAATATAATACAACTTTTTTAATGAAGTTATAGAATTAAAAGGGTGTTTTGTATTAATAGACAACCGTATAAATTTGCTCATAATTTTGCGAATTTTTTCTTAGATAAAATCTTTTCATGGGCTAAACAGGTTTTGCTCTGTCATCCCAGGTTGCCAAGCATTATTTGGATGCGGAAAGTTGAAGGTGATCGCTGACATAAATATAAATGCTAAGTAGGAGGCAGACTAAAGCCGAAGTTGAAATATATACACGCCGATTCCCAATGATAAACGTAAAGTAGAACGTTTGAATTTCCGCCATGCCTGATCAAAAACTGACTGCAGACCCGGAGGGGGGCAGGACTAGGGGGTTGTTGTCTAGAGTTACGGTTTTGTCCTCTCGTTCTATAGATCCTAGGTTCGAAACCTCACAGCGACGGGAAAATATTCTTCTCTAAAAATTAAAAAAAGTCTCCTTTCATCTCCTTTCCTGCTCTCTCATGTTCTGGCGTCTGATTTCTTCTCATGTTTATGGCTGCAGCCCCCACCCCCCTTTTTCTCCCCTAATCTGGGCTCCTGACTCTTTCCTTAGCCTTTCTATTGATACAAGCTTGATCTTTCTTACTGCTGTATTTCAGCCACGCACCTGTTCTTAAAGTAGATAAGGCCTAACACCTAGCCCTCTCGGATAAGGGCGTAAAAATCTCGGAAATCTAGTGAGCAAGTTGCGCAAGTTAAAGATCACTTGGTGGTCCTAAAATCGATAAGACAAGGCATCGTCCACCACCCGGGCAAAATTTAAAACTATTCCTTACAAAATTAAAACTGCTCAAGGTGTCCCGCACCCTCATATGACCTTATGCAGTTGCGAGTGCCGTAAAACACCCACAAAAACTAAGACTGCAGACCCGATCTCTATACAGCCGATCAAAAAGAAGATACACAATCGATCGGTGGGTCTTTCTTTTAGAAAAAAAATATTCTTTCGAACAATACATATGACGTTTTTGTCAGATAAGTCATGGTGAAAGAATTAATATCTATTTTTTAAAGCAAAAGCTTCTCTTTCATGACTGAAATTTGACAACAGCGGTGACATCCAAAAGTCACATATCAGTAGGTAGAGTGATCTCCTTGTGCATTCAGCACAGTAGTGCGCGAGTGTCCTGTAAAATGTTGTCTCTGGCATTGTACAGGGCCTGCTGCAACGGTAGGATGTTTCTGGGACCGGAATTCTTGTCACAAACACAGTGACCTCTGTCCCGACAGGTGCAAATTTTTTACCTGGATTTTTAAAAGATTTGGAAGAGAGGGGGTGGTTTGGGTTCTTTTTTTTTTGGTAAGTGTTTTACGGCGCTTGCAACTGCATAAAGTCATATGAGCGCGCGGGACACATTAAATAATTTCATTTGGTAGAAAAATTTTGAATTTTGCCCGAGTGGCGGCCGAAGCCTACTCTTATCGATTTTAGACCACCAAGGGATCTTATATAACGTGCGCAACTTGCACACGGAACTCCCGAGACTTTGGGCCCTTTTTCGAGAAGGCTAGGTTTAGATCTATCCTACCAGAAGATCAGGGGTGTGGTTGAAAGACAGCAGTAAAAAGGAGCCAAGAGGGAAGAGAGTGCATGGTGTGTAGGTGCACTGTCCTGTTGAAATGGCATGGACTGATTGCGTCATTTATTCTCCCATAGTGGCGTCCAAGTTGGAATCGAGAGCGATATCTATTCGGAGACGTCTCCGACGGAGATAGACCTATCAAAATTCTTTGTGCCTCTAGATCAAGTTAAAAAATCTGGTGGGTTTTAACCCATAATTTGATATTTTGCACTTAGGTTTGAAATTTTCTTGAAAATACTTAATTTGCGGCAGTTTTAGTGGCTATGTCTGATCAGCAGCAAACAATACGCAGTTTGACCCCCAAAAGCAGTGCATCTGTGGGCGGGAGTGCGTCTCCGAATAGTTCCTGGGTGCTCGACGGAGACGTCTCCGAATATTTTCTGCCGGAATTGAGATTTATCTGAGAAAGTGACCGTGTCCTACAGCTCTGGGTCGTGGGTCGGGAAGCTGTATCCAGGTTCAGATTGCCTGACGGTGTGTTGGCCGCAAACACATTCTGTCTATAAGCGTCCTAGCTAAATTCTTAAATTATTTCAGGCTGCGACGAACAGTTTACCGACGAATGGGTAAAAGTCCTAGAATTGTCTTGTGTTTTTAGTTTGCCTTCCCTAGTATGTGACTCTCTTCAAGTTAAGCTATGCCAATGTGTTCATTTTGCGTTTGCAAACAGTCCACTGATATCAGTCTATTTTTTATCTGACAGACAAGAGAAACAGAACCATGCTGGACTTTTGGCGTACAATCTTTGCGCTGTTGGTATTAACGTGTACTGTGCATGGAGGAGTCGTGAAGCGGGTGAGTACATTAACCCCAACATACTCAAGTCTTGGGTGAGATTGTGCGCTCTTCTCAAAGCACCGTCAAGAATTTTGGGACGGAATGTTCCAGCAAACATTTACATTTGTTCGGACTGTATGGTGAAGATACAAAGGTCTAAACGTTTTTTTCTATGATCACTTCAGCAGGTTAAAGACATATTCATTGGTCTCCAATCAAATAAATATTTTTATAGCTTGGCAGAACCCAGAACTTCCATGAGAGGTGCTATTCATTTGTCAGTATGCAGTTGCCAAAATTTTGTTCCCTTTTTTTTTAGATTTCTTTTTTTTTTTTTTTTTATCAAACCATTGCGGCCTTATCCGGCTCCCGTAGAATCCCTATAGTCACACTGACTATTTATCTAGGTCTAGATCTAGACAGATTTTTTTTTTTTTTTTTTTTTTTTTGGTAAGTGTTTTACGGCGCTCGCAACTGCATAAGGTCATATTTCATATGAGCGCGCGGGACACCCCTAATATTTTCAGTTGGTAGGAAATTTGGAATTTTGCCCTGGTGGCGGCCGAAGCCTACTCCTATCGATTTTAGATCACCAAGGGATCTTTAACGTGCGCAACTTGCACTCGGGTCCACCGAGATTTTTTGCCCTTGTCCGAGAATTTTGTTCCCTATAAACCCAACTTTAACACGCAGTAATAATAAGTGAAAATATGCAAACAAAAAATGTATAGAACTAGTCTCAACACCTCTCACAACATACTTAAGTGATTTAAAAGGCGAGGCCTACGTGACCGAGCCAGGTGGAAAATTCAAATAAAGTGCTCGAAGTGTTACGACTGCAAGGTTTGTAGCCCAAGGAGACAACTTTGGCACCGTTCAGCAAAAAGTAATAACAACATCTAAATTATGTGTCTGTTGGGGTGTCAGTAAATAGCTGCGCTTGCTTGCTCTATTAGCTAAATCCCCAGCACCCCTCTTATTTTTGCTACTCATTCAGTACTCCAAAGGTAAAAAAAAATGCCAATATCTTCCTAGCTATTTAAAAGAAAGCATGTGAGTCTGCATTGATTTTTCTCTCGCTTTTTCTTCAAGTAAAGTCGATTCGAATATTGTTTCTTATCTCCTCTCTCTATCTCTCTCTCCCTCTCTCTTTGTGTCTCTGTCTCTCTGTCTCTCTCTCTCTCTTTCTCTCTGTCTTTCTCTCTCTCCTACTTCTCTCTCACATTCACTCTCTCTCACACACACACATACTTGGGCATACGCACGCACGCTCGCACGCATGCACCCACACACGCTCACATGCATATTCATTTATGCACTTAGAGTGATACGGGGTACACTCATTGGCTTGTCTTGTTGACTGCCACACTGCTGGGTGGCAGAGTGTAGCGCTGTCTGTTATCTATACTGCTAGTCACTCACACACAGACGCACACATACACACATACACACACACACACACATACACACACATACACATACACACACACACACAAATACATACACAAACACACATACCCAGAGACACTTATAATGACACAGGACACACTTACAGGCTCACAAATACGTACACACACATACACACGCCCACAAACACATACAAGCACGCAAACACTCATTATGACATCGACGAGTACACCTGTATTGCTGGCTGCCGAAATGCAGGCGACACACTC